TAATGCTGCTTTGTTTATTATTTTAATTGAAAAAATAACCTGTAGCTTTCTTAACATTTGCTGATAGCCAACATTTTCCTTCAGTTGATATTTTTAATTAGTGCTTTATATATTTGAATCCATTTTATGGTTTGAGCCTACAAAACTGTTTTGTTTGGGTTTTTTTTTGAAGAATTTTTTTCTCAGCTGTAATTTCTATCTGCAAAATAAATATAAGAACCAATCATATTTTCTGGCAAGACATTCTCTAGAGATCTCTGGTCTTATAAAATAAGACAGTATATCAAGTATAGATTTTAATTCAGGTCATTACTTTGAGTAACATTGCTGTTTTAAAATAAGATCAAAGCAAAACACCATTATAATGAGTCATTACTCAGAAACAGAGGAATTAATGATACCATTTTAAATATATACCCTGATAACATGACTGAGATAAAAAAGAAAACCTGCATTCTGAACATTGCCAATTTAGATTTAGCAAATTAACTAAGTAGCTTGCATTTGTAGTATTTCACACCTTAAATTCTTAATATGCATTGCTAAATGTATTTCCTCACTGTTTGCTAATTAATGTTCTGTGGAAGTACAGCTGCTAATATTTTTGTGGTTGACATGGCTCATTTTAAAGTGATAACAGTTGCATCTGTAGTAGTGTTACAATTCAGTTCATAAATTATGGCCATACATTTTTACACCTACTATTTTGTAGGAGTACAAGCATTTGAAAAAACTGTATTTGCTAATAAAATCCACCTGGTAATATTTTAACAAAACATAGAAATACCCCCCAGACACCACCACACTATCAGTGATATTAATGACTCAGTGAGTCTTTCATGTGTTAAGTTTTAAATATTGCAGGACAGGAACATCTTATCCTGTAATATCACAAGGTCTTTTCAGGACTAATTATTGGTAATTAAAAAGACTGATATATTCTGATGGTAAAATAATTGGACTGGAACAATATTGTGAGGCAGTGCAGGGAAAAATATTTCTCTGAGGAAAATAAATAAATATTATCAGGATATATCTGGTGCAGATCAATTGAAGAAAAAGTATTCATAAATGCATGTGTTTTGTAAGATACATTTTTTTTTTCTTCTTATATTTTGAAAGAAACACAGCGGGATGTAAGAAATCCAGGAGGTTCCTGGAGTGCACTGATGAGAACTTCCTCCTCCAGATGATAGAGGAGCCAATGAGGAGAGGTGCTCTGCTGTACCTCAGACTCACCAACAAGGAGGGGCTTCTGGGGAATGTGAAGATCAATGGCAGGCTTGACTGCAGTGACCATGAGATGATGGGGTTCAAGATCCTGAGGGAAAGGAACAGGGCAAAGAGCAAGCTCACAACCCTGGACTTCACGAGAGCAGACGTTGGCCTCCTCAGAGATCTGTTTGGAAGGAGTCCCATGAGATAAGGCCCTGGAGGGAAGAGAGGTCCAAGAAAGCTTGTTAATATTCAAGGATCGCCTCTTCCAAGCTCAAGAATGTTCCATCCCAGTGAATAGGAATTCAGGCAAAATTACCAGGAGGCCTGCATGGATGAACAAGTTGCTCCTGGTCATAAACACAAAAAAGAGGCATACAGAGGGTGGAATCAAGGATACATAACCTATGAGGAATACAGAGGCATTGTCTGGGCAGCCAGGGATGAAGTTAGGAAAGCTGAAGTCCAAATGGAATTGAATCTAGTAATCCTTCCCCTTTGCTCATCCCTACTGAGGCCACAGCTGACATACTGTGTCCAGTTCTCGGCTCCCCAATAGAAGAGAGATATGGGCATACTGGAGAGAGTCCAGTGAAGGGCCACAAAGATCGTGAAGGGACTGGAGCATTTCTCATATGGAGAAAGGCTGAGAGCTGGAATTGTTTAGCCTGCAGAAGAGAAGATTTAGGGAGATCTTACCAGTGTATAGAAATACCTGAAGGGAGGGTGCAAAAAGGACAGAGCCAGGCTCTTTTCAGTGGTGCCCAGTGACCGGAGCAGAGGCAAATAGGCACAAACTAAAACACAGGAGGTCATGTCTGGATATCAGGAGATACTTTTTTTACTGTAAGGGTGGTTGACCACTGGCACAGGTTGACCAGGGAGGTTGTGCAGTCTTCAACCATGGAGATACTCCAAAGCTTTCTCAATATGTCTCTGAGCAACTAAATGTATGTGGCACTACTTGAACACGGGTGTTGGACAAGATGACCTCCAGAGGTCCCATCCAACCTCAGCCATTGTTTAATTCTGTAACACTGAAGTCAGACAAGCTGGGTTTCCAAAGCTGTCAACATTAGTCTGATGGTACTTGAGGTAATTGAATGTAGAGAAATACTGTTGTTCAAATTTAGACTAGCAATTTTCATAAAGGTTATATAAGCCTCTGCTAGTTTTCTGTGTCTGCTTTTCTTTGTCAGGGCCTTGAAGCATTATTCATAATTGCCCAGTGGTCTTACTGCTTCAGTTGTATAACTTCTGTGATAAGAAACTGGTTTTGGTACTAACATTAATGCTTACAATTTGTATACCTCCCAGCACCACATTTGAAGGCCACCTAATATGTCACGATGTTTTCTTTTTTTTGTCAGTCTGGGATCTAGTGCAGCAATCTTAATTTTTCTTATTTGTACGTTGTGTTATCACAGTTTATGTTTGTGAAGAAGATGTCATGAATCAGGTAGTCCGTTGGGTTTGCATTATCTGGTCAAATTTGAGATCGGGTGCTGATAGCATCTGGTCAATTCTTTCTGGTTTTTTTTAGTATTTACATTGGCTGCTTAGAATATAGCAAATGCTGACTAGATGAAAACAATTGTTGCATGTGTAAGCTTTTGTAGGAACTAACTAGCATTATATTTGCTGTAGAAGCATTATCGTCTATAAGGTTGAATTATGTGTCATTGTAGTGTTTTATTTCTGAACATCTAATGTTAAGAGAAAGCTCAATCATAAAACATGTTTATTATGAAAGAACTGATAGGAATCAGATGCACGTTTTCCTGTCTGTAGACTCAATTGTTATTTGTGATGTGGGGCATGGGTTCATCAAGTACTACATGTTAAAATTTATTTATTGCTCTTTGTTCTTTTTTTTCTTCAAGTAGAATTACAGAAAAATAATTATTGAGAGGAATAATATGGATGTGATATTGCTTTAAGCGTCAAAGGCCTTGATACTATAATATGTATCAAAATAACCTTGGAATGAAAATCTGTGTAGAAGAAACTAATCCACATGTTTGGGGGGAAAAAGTTGGCAATTTAGATAAAATACTTTGTTAAATAAAGTTATGCTGACAGAAGCAGGAACTTCTTGAAATTTAGAATTCCTATTTTAAAAACTCTATCGTAAACCTAGTTTGGTTATCTATCTAACATTTGTTATATCTGTCCTCTTACAGGATAAGGTAATTTGAGATTGTTTACTGGAAATGCCAGTAGAATTTTAGAAAACAAGTGTCCTCTTCTATAGATCCTGTCACAAGTTGATAAGTTTATATATAAACACAAACCACTTACAGGTTAACAGTCACTGAACTGTTTTCTTTTAGCACCATGCCTATTTATCAAAGCTGTTAGAAGTTTCCCCGTTTTGCCAATTTTATTATCTTTCAATGATTGGTAGTTGAATATTTTTAAAGTTTTATTTCTGTCAGGATAATCAAACAATCACTGTCTTCTTTTACTCATTAAAGCATTCATTTTGTTCAAGATAGCTGATGAACAAGATTTGCACAATTTCTAAACTTTATACTGGGGCCTATGAAACAACACAATCTTAATTTTCCTTTTTATTTTCTGAGTGATTTTCAACTGCAAAGTTACAGAGTAACCTTTATTTTAATAGAACTCAGATCTTTTTTTTTTTTTGTGATGTGAGACTGTAAGGTAAGCTTTGAGCCTGTCCCAGACACCTCAAGCTTTGATAGACAGTGATTCATTAGATTTGTTATGAACAGGCAATAAATAATTGCCCTTAAATCATAATCATAACTTGCAGGCAAGTTACTACTGAATTTCATTGGATAAGATTCGGTTCTATGGGGCTTTTGTTCATAGCAGCTGGCACTTAAATAGAAATTATTTTTGAGTATAGTATATGAGAAATTTGCATTTCTATTTCTATTCAAAACAGCTGTCGAGAATTTTGGGAGGGAAGCAGTGAGATGCTTTCTTTAGTGTGACCGCTTTATGTCTGATTTTAAATTTAAAAATGCTACTTTCTTGGATTCTTGTGGTAAGGTCACATGAAGTGACTGCTGAGTATGTTGTCATTGTGGGAAATGGAGAGTATTAAAATTGTTTGGCAATTGGCGATTGAATCTACCTCAGTTTTATCTGTTTGGCAGTCTGTTACTTAGGGACTTATACAAAAAGGGAAGCCATTGCAAGAGCATGCAAGAAATGGCACCATAATAGAGTTTTACCACAGATGTATCTACATGAAACAATTTGGAAATTACCTTGTCCAGGACTGGTTGAAGTTGTTCAATCTGTTTTGCCAGTGCAAGGATCAAGATATCAAAATGTACAACTTGAAAGTATGCTTTAGGGAGAAAGAGTTTCATAGGGAACTGGGAACTATCAGCCCAAGCTTAAGTATGAGGCGTTTACTGTGCTGTGATGAAGGTTAGAAATATTTTATCACAGATAATTTTTAGTGGTACATATGAATGAATCTCACGATTATATAAGGAGTTGATTCTGGATAGCTGGTTAATTGTTCTAATGTAGAAAATATATACAAATGATGCACAGTAGCTTGAAGGTATTAGTTGATACTTCCATATGGTATTCCATACTCAATCTTACTAATGGCCGTCCAACATGTACAGATGCAGCAAACTGTGTCCTCCTCATATATAAGTAGTTAAAACTTAAGATAGCTTTGTTAAGCTCTACACTGCATTTACTCTGCTGTATATTAAAGTACTGGGGTTTTGTAAATTTGAATCTGGATTTTTCTTTGTAAATACCTAATGTTTCTTTTTTTTCTCTACTAGATGCTTGTGACTACTCCAGAGAAATGGGATGTAGTGACAAGAAAAAGTGTTGGTGATGTAGCCCTCTCTCAGCTGGTAAAACTCTTGATTCTCGATGAAGTTCATCTATTGCATGAAGACAGAGGACCAGTACTTGAAAGTATAGTAGCACGTACTTTACGTCAGGTAAGAACTAAAAATCCTCAAAATAATTTTAATTTGGTCAAGAATAAATAGGTTTCAGTATTAAAGGAAAAATGCTTAGACAATTAAATCAAAATGCTTAGGTAGCTTACAATTATAGCTGTTCTGTACTAAGAATGAAGAAGAATTTTTGTCTTCTAACTTTGTATTATATCAATTATCAGATTCATAGGATTCATAATTAATTACAGATCTATTTTTCTACTTATGATTTCTTAACATTAATGTACTTACTGTACAGGTAGCAGCAAAATTAAACATATTTAAACAAATAATAATCAGGTTAATGTTTTAATGTAACCAAAATTGAAAGTATTTTCTTACCAGGAATGATGATTTTTAATTAGTAATTTTCCTAGGAGAAAATTTTATTTTAATTAAAAGTAGTGTCTTAAATCTAGGTAAAACTATCAGCACTGCTAGAAAAATGCTACGTAATTTTTACTTTAGCATAATTGGTCCTGGCTTTCTTCTCCATGCTTTAGTTGTACGTTTTAAATACCAAGATTTGACAAAGGAGAAAAGGATGAATGTGTAGGTTTTTCTCTTAAATCTTGTACGAAAGAAGGATTCAGAGTTAGGCAATAAATAAAATTGGTCTCAGTTATGAGCTGTGCACTTAGAATAAAAATATGGAATGTAGGCATGAATAAAAAGGATCGAATTAGGGTAAATAATGGTAAGAAGAGGATAGAGTGCCTTTTTTTTTTTTGTCATGCAGAACAAAAGTATGTCAATACAAATAATCTGTAACAGACTAAAAATAAACACAACTGGTATTGGTTTTGCTCTATTTGTAGCATATTAAATGTTTAAAACCTTTCAGCTTTCAAGATGCTTTTTTCTTGGTAAGGCTACACTAACCTTGTAAAGACTGTCTAAATCACATGATTCCAGTTCCTCTAAGAGAATAAATGGATATTTGCTGTAATCCAGTACTGAAAGTGTAAAGTACCTGCATAAAGAAGAACAGTAATAATTGAGTAATGATTCCTTAGAAGAACCTATACTGAAAAGATTATTTTTTTAATGGAGAGCAGGGCTTTGTAAAGTTTAGGCTAGTTCAAGGGCACAGAAGCTTCACCTATTCGATGTTGTGTTTGCTTTCTTAAATGGTTTTGATAACCTTGTTTTCCTTAGGTGTCTTTAAAGGACAGCATCTCAGCTTTTTGCAGTGACCATGATGGTCACTGTCTTCATGTCGGATTGCAAGACTCATTCATTTTTTAATGCCAAGTTTTATGAGACTTGTCAGGTAGGCTTCAGCTGTCCAGAAAGACATCTAGAGCCATTTTATCTGCCCTACATTATTCAGCTGGGCATCTGGTCTCTGCTTCGTTTGGACACAAATCTCCCATAGTTCTTTCCTTTTGTGTCTGTCAAGCCTGTACAGGTAACTCAAGGAATATAAAATCTGAGGCAATTATGTCTTGGGTACTGAATCTTACCCTTAGTGTATTTGTTGTAACATAGCAGTACTTTGCTTCAATGCTCATTTAAAAAATAGCTTTCAAGGGTACTTTAATCTTCTAAGATTTCAAGGTTTGTTTTACGTAACAAGTTGGAATTTAATTCATCTGGAATTCAAGCTACTCATTTGTAACCATTCCTTACTTGAAACAGTTGGGAAGAAAAGCAAAACACAAATCTTGAAATTAACTATCTCGTGACCTTTCTGAAGACTTTATTCTAAGTTGATAAGAAAGGGAGTAATGGAGACCACTATTCATCTTTACAAGAAGGTAGTTGAAGAGAGGGAAAATTTACAGTGTGAAAGTACACTAAAAAAACCCCACAGTTAAACAGAAAACAAAACTACTTGTAGAAATATTTATAATTAGGCAGTAAAACACAATTCCAGACAAAAATATTTTGAATTGCAACCCTCCCGGAGAGGGACAAAGAAACAGGAGATGTTTTGTACAACTTTTTTACCTTTTTAATATGGAAACAAATAACAAGAGGGTTAGTTTTAAAAATTACACTGAAATGTTATACTGCAGCATCTGAGCCTGCAAGCATAGCTCTGTGAAGTTTGCAGTATGCATCCATAACTAATTATGAAATTACTGGAACTTTTATTTGAATGACTAAAAAAGATAACCATGCATTTTCTGATTTCAGAAATATTTCATTGGAGTTTAGTGAAAATACTATTACAGATGTTCTAAATTTAAACATATCACATCTAATTTTTTAATGATATTTTGAAAAGAATAAAATATTGGGTTACGTTTCTTCAGTTCTGTTCCCTGCTCATCGTTCTGTTTTTTGCATTTTGATGCAAATTCAAAAATGACCCCAGAGCAGGAACTAAACCCAGGATATTCAGCCAATCCTGAAGAATGTCCTTCTGACTTCGATGATTCCATATGGAACATTAAGCTCCTCTCCAGCTCTTCTGAAAGTAGTTCTGTAATATATTTTCATTGATATCTATAGAAACATCATGCTTATTCAATACTCGTGAACACAAGAGTGAAGAATAATTGTTCAGTTCTTTAAAAACAAATGAAAAACAAAACAAAAAACATTGACATCAATCTAAAATATCATTCTGTCAATTACACCACTGCAGCAATTGCTGAAATCACTTTACTTGATTTGTATACTGGTTTAAGACATCAGAAATATTGACTGCTTTTTTCTAATTTGTAGCGGAGGGATTCAGAAAGTGATTAGGAAAATAATTCAAAGAAAAATCCATTGCAGATTAATAATCACTAGATCAGACTGGAGGCTGTAGTAATTGGGGGCTATGCTGGCAAATATCACTGATATTTTCCCAGTTTCTGTACCCTCCCTTTTGGCCCCTGTGGGAGACAGTGTATCGAAGCAGTTGGATTTTTGATTTGACCTGGAACAGTCATTTCTTGTATCACTTCTAGGACAGAACTGTGATAAATTCCTTTGAATGCGACTTCAGCCTTTTCAATAAATCACTAATAGCTACTCTAATAATGGTGTGTGCCTCTAATTTTATCTGGATCATACTTCCCTATCTTGTATATGAGACTGTCTTACAAGACAATGTCATGACTCCTGTTCAGGTCAGGATGTATAATGTAGTGCCTTTTACATTTTGCAGGACTTGTTATCCTGTCTTACAGCAGAAGCATCTCTCCTGTTTTGCTGGAGTGTGGGAGGGTTGTTTTGCTTAGATAGGATAATAGAAAGACAATGGATTTGAATTTTTTTTTTCTTTTTAAGAGTTAGTGTCCAGCTAGCTACTTGGGCCTGCAACTATGCCAGAAAATAATGTTTTGAGATATGTATTCATATGCTATACAAATACATTCTCAAAACGGGAATATCCTGATGCATTAGCAGGTCTGTCCTAATTTGTATGTCAAAATACGTGAATTATTGTTGTACTTTTCCCCCAGATGAACACTGAGTCACACCACTTACTGTAAGACTTTAACATGTTCATTTTAACTTATGGCATTTTTTAGAATCAGATTTTTTTCAAACCTGGAAGCAGCGTATATATTGGAATTGCTGACAGTTTTACTCATAGCAGAATGAACAGCATATTCGTGCGTGTTTGCACTTTTCAAATTTTAGAGAATGTTTTTGCAAGTGATTTAAATTGACTTTGCTAAACATTTTGGTGGGAAAATTGCTTTAAGCTCTGTTATGTACTGTAGGTATAACATCAAACAACTTCTTTGAATCCAATTTATAGCTTTGATGTTTAAAGTTTTAGTCTAGAGCATAATGCAGATGTAAAACTGAAATGCTTAAACTTTTTAATCAAACTTTCAACACTTCTGTAATATCTACTAAGCTTATTAGCTTGAAAGAAAAAAATTGACTGCTTTTAAAGGACACTGAATTATTTTGTCATAATTATTCAGCGACTTTGATGACTTTGCTGCTTATGGTATTTTTTCACAAAAAGCATACTGAATATTATATTTGAGTGATACGTGAGTTTTGATACCTTCTCTCAACTATGTGAATGATAAATTAAATAAAAGAAAATCCATAGTAAAGGATTTCTCAGATTTTGGAGTACTAAAGCTCCCATCTTAGCCATGCAAATATTGTTCCCATCACAGTCTCATTCTTCAAATTTAAGTTTCAGTTGCTTTATGTTTTTGTATTAGACCAAGAAAGTTGCTAGATAAATAATAGGTGGGACAACACAGCAGGACAAGCAATCCAGGAGACTCCCAGAGTGCACTGATGAGAACTTCCTCCTCCAGGCCAGCGAGGAGAGGTGCTCCGCTGTACCTCGGACTCACCGACAAGGGAGGGACTCGCTGGGGATGAGAGGATCAAAGGCAGCCTTGGCTGCAGTGACCATGAACTGGCTCACGTTTCCGTTCTGAGCTTTCTTTCCTCATGAAACCTTGATTAAGAAACGTTCCCTCTCAGCCATCATGTAGTTTTCCTTGCTCTGGATGCATTTTCAATATCTAGTTCCTTATTATCTCCTCTACCTCTTTCTTTCTGTCCCTTTGGTTCCCTCTTTCACCTTCTTACTAGAAATCAGAACCAAACAAGTTCAGAGGTTTCTCACCCAAAGCCAAATTCCTATTTGTTATCAAATTAGGAATTTTTATATGCTTGGAATCCCATTCTTGATTAAGAAAATTTGAGCAGTTAAAAAAAAAAAAGGCAAGGCTGATAGTTAATGACCTAAACCCAGATGATTAGATCTATGTATCTTGTGTCTAATGGTAGCCCACTGTAGTTCCTGTATGTGTCTTTTGGCACTAGAATGGCATTGACATTTCAGCTGGTTCTTCATTTCTTGTCTTGAGTGACTGCTGTTAGTCTTTTGTCTCTCGGATGTTGCTTATATAGACTAACCAAGTTTCTCAGCGTCGTCATTTTTAATACATGTCAACAATACTGTGTATAGAATTTTGTGTTAGTTTAGGTTGTGGCATACACAGAGGTAGTGTTTTCCTCCTATTACTCTGTTCTGTCCATTTTATATCTCTAAGAATTTCATGTACTTAATTTGCTAA